GGATGGACGCATGTTGACAGATGACACGTTCATCCATCTCAGTCTCTGCACTAAGAGCCAAACCGTCTGAGCTCCATAAATTCCAGTGGACAGGCATCTGGGCCTCTCTCCCTAACACTGGCTCATTTATCCACACAGCGGACATTTTGTTTCGGGGCTCCACACTTGTAATTGCCGTGGGGCACACAACACAGACCTTAACACGGGCACTTTGGAGCCTCTCACTCAGCCATCAGCTCACACACTCAAGAGACGACAACGGACGCACTGTTTGGGTGTCCTACTGCTCATGGCTTTGGCAATGTGCCATAACATCACTCACAATATGATGCATATTCTGCAGGTACAAGTACACCAAGCAGGATTTAAAAAAAATAAATGCTACTTGATTATGGCCATTTAATTGAAAATAACAAATAAGTATAATGAACTAGAATAGTTTTCTGGAAAGGAAAATAATAGCATTACAGTATGATAATAACATAACTATTTATCTGCCAAAGCACTGTTCTGGAACTTCTGGCACATCAGCACTTTGGGTAATTTTAATAATTTATTATTGCTGTAAAGTGTATAAAATTTGAAGCGATCCAGTAACGTCTCCGTGGCCTATTTTTCCATTCTCAGTGCAACAAAATGTTAGAGCTGGATATGAAGAGATAATAAAACACACAGGTGTTTTGTGTATTAAATAGTCTGCCAGATACATTACCCATTTGAGAACTGGAATCTAAAAGTGTCACATATCATTTCAGTCAGCACTCACACCTGTGTTTATTCCACTGCTAACACATTTGGTTCACATGTTGAAACAGTTATTTCTTGACAAAATATTTTGTCTATGTAAGAAGGAATAGCAAGTCAATGAATAGTGAGACTGACTGTTTGAAGGCAGCAACAGATGGAAGGTGGAAGATCATGAAATAAAGTAATTTCTTTTGTTCAGACATTTCACTCATCAGGTGACATGGAGGTAGACTTGTGTTTGCAATTGTCATAAGGAAAAGCAACAACTAGGTCTACCATTTAAGAGGCCAACTGTGTGCTATGTAGGATCTGTAAGGCAGGAAAGTATTAACATAATAAGTTCATAATATTTTTTGATGTAGGTAATTTACAGTGAGTAGGTCTTGACTGGGACTAAACATAAGAACTTTTTAATGGTGGTTGTGGTTCAATATTTTTGTTTTGGAAATAAGAACAAAATATATTGAGATTGTTACTGTCTATAGCATCCCAGTAGTGCACAGGTAGAGTGAATACCATCTCTCTTTTACTCAAGTCTCATGAATACGCCCAAGCATACCTTCTCCTTCAGTCTCTCCAGTGTGAGCTGTTCCTGGCAGCCAGCAGCACCTGGAGCAAGGCATGCTGGGTAGGCATTTTTCAGCACTGTTACTATTCTCAGTTTAATGCCTGGCCTCTTGCCCATTGGCAGCATTAGCAGGAGTCTGGTGGAGCTCACTGCCAACATCTGGACTATACGTGCTTCTCATGGACTATACGGGCTCTGATGGGCCGCATACCTTCAACACTGTCCTACAAACTGTCTGGGGCAGAGGGAGGGGGTCCAAGAAGTGTTTCACAGCCAAAGAAACATCTATCATCCCGGCGCCGCTCAGGCCAAACAAATCAGTGGCGGCTAGAAAATATGATTTCACTAAGAGAGGAATGTCAAACTGTAGCAGGCAGCTGGAGTACAGTGTATACAGTGAGAGAGCTGTGAGAGAAGGCCAGATGTGATTAGGCTCCAAGCTGCAGGGAGAAGTGAGAGGACAATTTAAAGGGCCTCCAGTTGCTAACAGACAGGCCAAAATGTCTTAAGCAAAGACAGTAATAAAAGTTTTTTAAAAGTTATGTTTTTCTAAATAAGTGGACTTCAGTTACGAATGTCTTTCAATAGTTCACACAAGAATAAGGCTATTGTTTACAACCAAATGTGATGTGATGATGGGAGATGATGTGGGTTGAACATGTGAGTGGAAGATCATCAGCAAAAGCCAAACTTATCAGCATTACTACTGATAGCTCTATTACTTCTGACAGTCCTTTATGAGATATTTTATTTGAAAATTATTCTTTATTAGAAGATTTATGTAAAGATTTTCATCCATTTTCCAGTTTATTGGAAATGTGTTGTATGGTGAGATTTGAGCTGAGCGTACCATGAGGAAACAATCATGCCATCACTGGGGACCCCTCCTCTTTTTCCCAAATACTGTCTACAAGGATCAAATCAATCACTGCTAACAACTCTCTCCCAAACGCACTCACGCCTGCCCCAGATTCCTGCTAATGTTGGTGTTTTTGTTTGTCTGGTCCCCACAGAGAAGTCAGCAGAGAGGCCTGGAAAAACTGAGCTCAAAGAAGAAATATTGTGAAGAATGGATCAGCTAAGTCCAGTGAGCCTAAAGATGAACTGTTATGAATTTACAAGGCGTCAGTTGGACCCTATATAAAGTACTATATAAGTATAAGTACAACTTTATTTACTAATCTTATTTCTTCTTGAGAATTAGCAATGCAAATAATTGTATGTGGCATTTATTAGAGCCATTCACACCAAACACCCTTCACTTACAACTACATAAATACACTGTGCTGTGTCAGTTTGAAAGTAGATCTGAACTGACTACATCAGAAGTTCTCAAACTGTAAAACACACATGTACTTCTGGTTGCTCTCCAAATTGAATCCACATCTATGTTGCATCCTCCATTCTGATCCTTTCTTTTCTATATTTGTGTTGTCATATTTTAGATCTAACACAGTGATCTAACACAACTTGTTATAAACCTGGTTTATATGTGGTGCTCGAAAAGTTTATGAATAGTTTGTGAACTGCTCTGGACTAGACTAGAACTTTTCAGTTCACCTTTTCAAGGGCAATTTGCTTTGCCATACAGTCTACTGTGAAAATCATGAACTAAGCCTAGTTTCTATTTAGTCCAATCCAAAGTATTGAAAAGCTATAATTACAGCATATGCTGTAAGTGATTGACCCTTTTTTTACTTGATCTGTGGGTATGAAGCTTGATTTGAATTACAAAACAATTGGAAAAAAATATATACATTATATGATTAGCTAAAAATTATCTGCCTATTGCTATTTATGTATAAATAAGTGGCATGTTTTCCCCTTCCTGTCTTGTCCTGTCTTTGTTTTGTAAAACAGTGTTAAATGACCAAAGGCCAGTTTCACACCTCCTCACAGCCATCAGTGAGGTAATAAAGCCTTCATAGACACATGGGCTCAGAACAATGGCAGCTGCTTATCACTAACAGTCTTTGGAAAACATCCCCTCATCTCCACATTAACATACTGGTGAGGAGCACTGTCTCATATCTGTCACTGATGGATGCAGATAGGACTCTTTATCACTTCATTTAGATTATATAGGACATGGTGATAACACAGACAAATGCAAGGGTCTTATTACACTTCTAATGCTGCTTATACAGCAATTACAGAAGTGATTTTGCCATAGTTAGGCCTAAAGCAGACCTGGGCATTGTACAGCTTCAGGGCCACATATGGCCCTTTGGCCCTTTTAAGTCTGATCGGCCCATTTAAACTAATTTGGAATTACAAAATAAACATATTATATAATTTTATCTTATGCATGGACTAAAGATGCACTGCAGCATTTGTTTTAAGGCAACCTGACTTTTTCATTGCTTGGTCAGAACACTGCTTTTTATAAAGACATACAATTAATATTATGCAGAATTGAGTTAAGCATTTTGGCCCGGCCCTACACAATATTTTCTGTTTCTCATGTGGCGCTCATTAAAAACATATTAATGGTCTTGGCAAGACATTAATTTAAAGGTGTATTATGTATTTTTCTGTTGGATTTGCTACCCGCTTGCATGGAGATGTTACCTCCGTGTTTCCATGGAGTTAATGTCATATTATGGAACAAACACACAACATTGTGAAAGTGAAAGTTTAGCAACTAACAAAAAGCAAGTGGGATACAAACTTAGTAAACAATTATGTATACGTGTTCTTACAGGACTGTATTTTTTATGTGTGAGGTGAGTGAACATGTGAATGTGTCATTGGTCAAAAAGGAAATGGTTGATCATTAAGCCTGGAGGGATCTGACACATTTCCCACATGAATATCACATGAAGCTTTTTATTGTGTAAATGGTGAAGCAGTCCACATTTTTTACATTGCAAATGAGACCCTATCTGTCTCTACATTAAAGCATGTTAGGACTTATACCTCAGGGAAAGGTCAATGTTTTGTGCTGTTTAAGAAACATTAAAGTTGGTCAGAAAGTCTGTAGGATACAGTTTATTATTTAAGAATCACAATAAATCTAATTGCTATTAACGGTGAACACAATTAAAAAAACTAGGAATTAGCTTCAGTGATGTGGTGCACCATAACACAATGAATAATAATAGAGTATAAAAATAAATAAAGTAGAAATTATGACAAACTAAACTAAAATAAAATAAAATAAGGTCATGCAAACATAAGACTTTGAATATAAATACAAACACATACAGCAAAGAGTGCTATCAGTGCAAAGAGATATTGTTGAAGTGAATCAAGATATCTAAAAATTTACTTTAAATGAAAAAAAAAAAAAACTAACTTTTTAGTCACTGGAATATAAAAAGTGCATGAAGAGTAGGCTCATTGCTTTATAATTGTTGTGGCATAAAACCAATAGTCTATTAGACTTTAAATAAATATGTGTAATTTGTATATATATGTATTTTTTTAAGTTTCACTGAGTAACCTTTCCGCACCCTGTTGTTTATGCTTTGCTTTAAAATGTCCACAGTATGGTATCCTTTGGGCAATAAACTTAGTTCAGACATGCCCTACAAACTCCCAAACTCCTAGCACTTTGGGGAGGGATTTAATAGACTACATTACCCACACTGCTCCTCGGCCCCTCCCCCCCGCATACTTCTGCTCTGCGCTCACGCTGGGCTGTGGGGATCCTACTCCACACAAGTTCCATACAGCAGAAGCAGCGAGGCGCACGCAGTTTCTTCTCAGGAATGGGAAAGTTTTCGACGCTTGCTTTTCTCTCGTTTATTTTTCCCAGGACGATTCAAATAAGACCGTATTGGATTTAATTCCCACTAAAGAGGCTACCTGCATCTTTTTAGGAGGTTTTTCTACTTTGGATACGCTTCGCCTCACCATCCAACTGTTGGAGCGCCTGTTGTGTTGTGTGGCTAAAATGCGCTCCTTTACGCAGCCTCGCCTTGTGGTCGCCAGGCTTTGCGTCTTTTTCTTCGTGTTTTGGGGTCTACATCGTCAATGTGTGGCTTCAATCAGGACGTGTCCCCCACCCTGCGCGTGTTTTGGAGAGCTAGTGGACTGTAGTCGGCTCAAAAGGGGCCAAATGCCAGAAACCATCCCGGAATGGACCGTTCAGCTGTAAGTAAACCCACACAGCAGTTGTATTCTACTGTTGTGAAGAGAACAGCAGGTAGTGAGAGCAGCACTGAGCGCTCACACCTCCGGCTTTATTGGAAGATTTTTACGGGCGAAGGATGGGATGAGCTGCATTCCTGTTGTGGTCTATTTGGTGTATGCCCCATAAACCACGTAAAAGTTTAGCGCCGAGAGTGAAACTCGCACGAGGGAGTCCTTAGGGTGGAATTCCACTGCTTGCATGGTCACTTTAATCAAAGTTTAGTAGGAATAACCACTGATAACAAATTTGGAGTAGTAAAAGTAAAGGTAGTTGCCGGGGTAGCCTAATTGGGATTGATTTAATCTAAAAAGTCACTCATAAGAAAATTAAAAGTGCCAAAGCTATACCTGCAGAAATGTTCTGTTCTGGTCCATCCCTCTATAGATTTAAGTCAACATTATTTAATTTATATAAAGTTTATGCGAAAAAACTCAACTATTGCTTATATATCTTAGTAATCCTCGATGATGTATGTGTTATCATTGCATTCCTTCAGTGGCATCCAGGTCACAGGGAATCACGAAAACAGGCCTAGTCTGCTAAAACTGTTCATGTTTGACAAGACCATTTCACACCTCCCACAGTTCAGAATTTGAGGGTGATGCTCTTTATTAGTGACTCTTTAGCCGTTCAGTTCACCCAGATTTTATTTACAGCATCATTCACTGTGATGAAAGCTGTCTGTGTCTTGTTACCTAGGATTATCATAAATTCTCTTGTTATTGTCAAGTGTAGATGGATCAGCAACCCTCTTCAGACAGATAGTTAGATTCCAAAACTATTGGTGCTTTGTTGTGGGTGACATACTACCTGTTATTGGGATTAGTTTTAATACTTTTGATGTAGGAAAGTCCAATCTGCCATTATAGACATGTAATACTTGTCTATAACTAGATGTTTGTCTATGTGGTTTGATCACTTTTTGTAATAGTATTGCGTTCATAGATTTGTGGTTGTTTACATTGTGTTGAGTTGCGGGGGTGAAATTCCTCAGAGTTGGTGAAGCTTTGATGGAGCTGGAAGACTTCAGAGCCATAAAGACGTAAATCACTGGACTAGTCCAAGCAGTTTTCCCAATTTTTTAAAGTCCATTGGTTCTGAGGTCTGCATCACAGCTTTTACAACATGTTCCTCAATGTCTTCAACTTTACAGATAATTATTCCTACTACACTTTTATTGCTTTAGTTGATTTTATTGTCCACATTCAGGCTTGGTCCACCACTACTCACTAGCTCTACTGGTAAGTTTTCCTCTTCGAAAATGTGCTGCAGTGGAAAGTTGGCGTTGCCAGAGCAAACAAAACCCAGCCTGAGCCTCTCAACCAAGGACAGCCTTCCAACCCAAAGAAAAAAGTTCCACATGGGGGAAAATGCTTTGCACTCTGGCATGCTAATTTACGAGTGGCTCTCCAGCACATCTTAAAGCCCTTAGCCTGCCGACCCTTTGTTTTGCGGCACCCCATTATTTCTGCTGAATTAGCGAAGTCCAGAGCCAGCGATGGTCCTGGTTAATAAGGAGCGAGAAGGATTAGGCTCCAACAAAGTGAGGAGAAAGTATTGGGGGAGGTGAGGCCGACATATGGAGTTTATTGCCAAAGGTTTTAAAGCCAAGCCTTGTGCCTTTTGGCTATTAGAGGTTCCACGTTGAGGGAAAGTCATCTTGGATCAAACTTTTAAAGAATAATAATGTTTGTTTTTTATTGGGAAAATTATAAATGCTGAAGAAAGATACTAAAAGTTATAACTTCAAATAATGACTAATGAGGGTTAGGGCATTTGCATTGCTGAGTTTAACTGTTGTCAAGTAATAATAATAATAATAAGTAAATTATTAGAAATATATTATCTTATATTGGCGCTCCCTATGTGTGTGTTGTGGTTGGTTATGTCCTCTAACACTGGAAGTTTCCTCCATTAAAAAAGAAAAGAAAACACATGCATAAAAGTTGTCTCCTTTGCATTTGGACACCTAATTGGAGCCAAAATGCATTAATGCTTTAGTGCTCTATCTGAATGTTAATGACAGCTCTTGTGATATTTAGTAGTGCCTCATTCATTTTGACTTTCCAGGGCTGATAAAACATTGTGTGGTGAGTTTTAGCTGATACAGGCCACGGCTTGTACTCTGCACACTGTTATCTGGGTGCTTTGTGCTGGAAGTGGAAGTGTCAGAGCTACTCAGCCTTTATCAGGGAGTATGATAGGACACCATCCCATATGCCCCCACCATCCACGGGACTGTAACAATAACAAGAGCATGCAGCTGTAGGAAGAAAAGATGAGGTTAGCTTTAGTTGCTAAAGTTTCCCACACAAACTTTAAAGTGGAAAATATGTGATTTATTTCCCTACAGTCTACAAGAAGCTGTTCAAGGTTAAAGCTTAAGGACCTGTTGATACTAGGTCAATGCAAGCCTCCATTCATCCAAGAGTGGTCTACAGTAATTACATTTGTCACAATATAAACATTTCAAACCAAGGAAACAACTCTACACTCAGTACTGAGTTTGGTACAACAATGAGGCTAGAGACTAGATTAAGTCTGTTCTGTTATTTTAAATATTGAGTAATATCTATGTATCAATATATTTGACAGACCTTATAGTAATATACAAAACAAACTACATTACTTGATTTTTTTTTTTTTAAATATTGCTGTGTCATAATTTGTCATAGTTTTCATTACAGGAAGAATTAATTGACCTCTGACTAGCATATAACTTTTAGCAAATTATCAGATGCCATAGAAACGAGTCTTATCAGTTCTCTACATATTATTGTTTGCTTACAATACAAAACACTGATTGTGTAAAGCCACTAAAAGGCAAAGTAAAGAAATGATACATCCTTGTCTGGTGTAATTAAAAGTTAATATAGACAAATAGGATATAAACCAGTAAAGTAACCTGCCCATAATAGTACTGTTTTGACTACGACACCTGAAAATTTAGTGCAGCTTTAAACTTTCCACCAAAGACCAGACGCGGGCAATAGAAAACGTGACAGGGGTGTTGTAGACATTTGAAAGGCTCTGTTCTCTCCAGCATTGTGAATACATTAGCAGTGGTCGGGCCTTCCCCTCCCTCTCCTCCCGGGACGCCCTGATGGGTTCCAGATGAGCGAGGTGCGGAGCGAGGGGTGCAGGGGGGGGTGTAAAAGAGCGTCTGGCACCACAGCGTTGATCGTGCGCAACAGCGTCAATAACTCCAGTCTTTTTTATGGCTCACGGTGCTCTGCTCTCCAGACTCCTCCAGCTAAAGACAGAGCACAAAACCAGAGTCTCAACCCCCAGGAGGGCAGCGGCAGGGGAGGAGGGTCAACATTCAAAACACCTCAAATAGGACAGAGTAGAGAAGGGTTCACTGAATATTCGCCAGTGAAAAAGTCTGGTATAACTTTGTGTAATAATAGTCTAGTGTTGTCAATAAAGTCCATACCCAGACACGAACACGAACAGGTTAAACTTTTGTGTATCGTTTCCTAAGTACCAAAATTGTGCTTGAAATGTTTGTAGCATGACAACACTAAATAGGCCGACAATTTACCAAGCATGACTAAATTTATTGCCTGTAGAGGTCTACAGAAGCATGAGAAGTACGACTGGACAAGAATTTATATTGGGCCTATAGAGAATAAAGCAATTAAGTGACTACAAGCAAAGGCTGTTTTCCTTTGTCAAGAAATGTATCATTGTCTCGTACTGTATATGGCATGCTACGCAGCAAATTATCAAACAGGTTGGTGATTTTAAGTAATAACTGACCATGAGTTATAGATAGATAGCAAATTGTATCTTTATGCCTAAGACCATAGCACCAACTTAGCCTTCTAATCACATTTCTTCTTTATATTTAATGCACAGCTATTCTACACTAATATCTAATCCTGAAACACTACTTTATTTTTCACAGACAATTTCACACCACCAAAAAATTTCAGATATGTTCCTGAACTACTTTAGCCTCTTGACAATATCCGTTAAGCTTAAGTGTAAGAAGTCCAAAAACTGTGTGAGTATTTAGTCAGCTTTAAAATGCACTTAGAAAATCATGTCTGTTTTTATCACTCTTCATTTCTCTGCTTTCACCACATAGACCCAGAGCCCTAATAACTTATCACTTGTCTGTGTTGGCTCATGCTTTGGAGATGAAGTGTGCCCTGGCTCCCTTCTCCAACGCACCCCTTTAACATATGCAGCTTTCTGTAAGGGAGTTTAGTTTGGACCACTTTCAATCAACTGGAGATATTTAGAGCAAAACGTCCTGAACTTGCGAAAAGAGATATCGCTTCAAAACCTTCAAGGATTCAACCAGCTTGGCTCCTTGTCAAACTTTCATCCTCAAATCTGGGAACTTGGCTAAATTACAGACTTGATAGGACTTGGTGGTGATTGTAGGTGATGCCATTTGAGAAGCTCCTCCTGACATTACGTAGTATTTAAGTAATAAATCTTGCGCTCCCTGACCATCCTGTTTAATCTTCACATGTCTCCAAACCTTGGCACATAATTAGAGCCACTTCTCGTCTGCTCGCTGTGTTAATGCATAATAACACAGGGAATTAGAGCGTAATTATGTTTGCACTGCAGACCTGAAATACACTTCCCCAGCATGTACTTTTCCCTCATTTTTCTCCTTGTGTTTTCTTCACAGGGACCTGAGCCATAACAAATTGCAGGTGCTTGACAGTGCTTTGTTTGCCAAACTACAACATCTGACTGAAATGTAAGTACAATTATGGGCACACAAGACATTCTGAATTGTCTCCAGTTTAGTGCAAACCACAGAACAAGCTGTTACTTATGGACAATATTGTTAGGATATTCTTTAATGAATTCTGTCAACTAAAATAAAATGCAGTCATCTTTTTACAATAGTACTCGTATTGAAACATCTTTCTTGTCTTTCTTCAACCTACGTTTTTATACATGTAAATTTTGACTGCAGTCGCAGAATTACAAAATTTATTGTAAATTTGCTCAGAACAAACAGCAAATTCCCAGGATACTTTAAATACAGTTATTGTCGAAGTATGGTTAGGAAAGAGGATCATTTTCATATTTACTCTAGGGCAAAATATGCTAATGGATTTTTGTGTACATGTTAAGACATTGTGCTAGACAAATTGTTAAAGAACCATGGCAACCACATGCTAATAATACAACAAATGGAATTTGCATTTATGGCTCTAATAGTAACTTTTATGTCTTATCCACATAAACAAATGTCATATTTCAATTTCTTTATTTCTCTTTCCATCCACACAGAAAACTTAACCACAATGAACTGGAGGCGATACCTGACTTCGGCCCTGTTGCTTCGAACATCACAACGCTCATTGTGTAAGTAGAGCCACCTCAAAGCTTTTGGCTGGTTTTAATGCTGTCATTGGTGGTTAGAGGAGAGTTTGTTGTCTCCTCCCTTCCCCCCCTTTTCCTTAAGTCCATTTGGCCAAGCACTTTCCCAGACAGGGCAGTTGTAGCAGACATGGCGGACTGCCCCAGACTTACTCACACTCAGAGACAAATGCCATCATGAGAAATGGAAATGTTTTGTTTGGTGTCTGACGCTGCAACGGGGCTATTTTAAACTTGGAGGCAGAGGAGTGGTGATGGTGGAGGAGGAGGAAGAAACATTGTAAGAACATAACTTCGGGTTTATTGTTAGAAGTTTTGACAAGTAATTGTATTCCTTAAACAGCAGGGGGAGTAGCATGCTACATGTGGCCTCTTCTTTCTGTTTGTAGCTCATTTTTCTATTCAGTCAGCTGCTATTCTCCATGTGGATAGTATTGTTTTGCCTGATATGCTGCACTGTATGACATTAATCTTATGTATTTCCATTGAGACAAGATGAAAACACCACCAGGAGAAAGTCAGACCTACATGCCCCCATCAGAAAAGTTTTTGAAAAGTTTCTTTAAATACCTTTTATTTTAAGATTTAAAATAAAATGTATTTAATTTTAATTGTAAGTAAATTCAGAATGCTATGATTCATTACTATTCATTAATTTCAGCGCACATACCCCTGTCATAACTCATTGCATTTAGACACGAACCAGAAATTGTTCGGGAATAGCATTGCTCAATCTGTGCATTCTCCAAAAGCACCAGATATTAGTGTGTAAAACCACAACAATTTATTCTGTCTATCGAAAACCAAGTTTCGTGAAGCTATTGCAGAAGAATGTATTGCAGCTAAATGGAGCCTATTCCTCATCAAGCCTCAACATGATGTTACTGTTGCCATGGGGCGTTCAGCTGTCAGACACTCACTGTTTGTTTTCAGATCCTCTAGCTATAAGAAATCCCAGCAGACAGTGAAGCTATCCCAGTGCAAGGCCAAGTTTTCACTGTACTTCTGCGTATTGTTCAATGGGTTCCAGTAAGACTTTCAAAGAGACATTTAACTGTGAATATGTAATAGAAAGGATGTGTAAAGTTATAAGATGTACTAAAGCTCACAAGCTACTCTGTTGCTAAACTAATCTGGTAGGAAAAGAAATAAAACAAAACAAACTCTTTACAATAGAAAGAGAAACAGAATGTTTAACTGCTTATTAGATAATCAGATAAGGAAAGAATTTACAGAAACAAATGAACAATTTCACAAAAAGTAAGGCTGAGAACTGTATTGGAGAACTTCCTCTGCTTTCAAAGAGAATGTATGACACTTTATATACAATTTCAGCCTTTTGGATCAGACTTTATCTTGCCAAAACAACTTTGATTGGAATTGATTGACCAATATAATGTTTGCATAACTACACTGTCTGCAGTAGAACTAAAATTGTTGTTAAACGTGGTTCAGCCAAAGTCTACCCTGTTCATTTTGCTTTAACAAACTCCAGGAACAGATAAAATTGAAAGCAGAATGAAAAACAACAACTTTCCCCCCCAAAAAAAAGTTTAAGCAGCCAAATGCTGACATGCAGGAATGCTGTGAAATATGGAGCTCATAAAAGGAGGTTCAGTTTGGTGGAACCACAACCAGCACAGTCATCTATGAGCATTCACACCAACTCCAACTTTGGCGTGGTGCACACACTCAGAAATAGTTGTAGTTTTAATTTTATCTTTCCTTGAACAAAAAATAAAAAGGCGTTATGAGGCTCGTCTTATTCCAAGCATTTGGCAGGAATAGTCTTTTACATGTTAAGCGAAAATGTGTCACACTTCAGGCTATACTTTGTTCTTAGACTGGTAATGTTGTATTGCATCATTCCTGGATCTCTTTATTCTATATTTTTTAATAGTACTTAGTAAAACTGCACACTATATAGCAATCAAATTGAAATCTCAATTTTCAAATCTCAAAAGCAGCAATTAATTAGATAGTGTAATGTCCTCTGCAAAGAACAAAGTATCCTGTCTTATAATCTTTTAGCTTATACCTCTACAAACATTATCTGAAATTATCTTGGATTCTTGTATTAGTTTATTAGTTCATACTTCAGTCTTCTCTCAAATGTTAGCGCTCCTGGAGTTGTTTACAATGCATACTCTGAGCAGAATCCTACTTTTTAAACTTACAGTATACCGCAAATTTAATCATCATGACAATATCACAATAGAAAATGTCTAAATCAGGCAGCCCTACTTCTTGCTATCAAAAATATGCTCAAAAAAATGTATGTCAAGTGGAATGATGAAGAATAGATGAAGAGGGCCTAGTGGTTTTAAAAAATGCAGGTCTGGAGTACAGAGCCCCACACATGTTCCAGTCTCAGTGAGCCATGCTGGCAGCCGCCCTCTTCCCTCACTCTCCCTGTGTGATTTTTCCCTCCAGTTTTCCACAATTTCTCTCCCTCCTTCAGTTTCTCCGAGCTGGGAGGGTTAGAGAAGCCAAAAACGAAAAAAAAAAAAAGCCGAGCAGAGTATCAAATAGCACTTATTCAAACAGGCAGGCAGACATGGCGGCAACGCTCGTCGACTCCTCTGACCCCGAAGCTCAGAGCAAAAACAAACGGTGCTAACCCAGCAGCTGGTAGTAATTGAGTCGTGATCATCCTAATTAATTGAACAATTTCCCTGGAATTTATGAAGGGGGTAAAGGCGGCCGCCGCTAAATCCCCTGTGCCTGTGTTCAAGGGGTGCGACAAATGACCTGGAGATTCCTGCTCTGATTAGGACAACTTCAGGCTTAAGGACCGGGAGCCTCGGAAATGCAGCCTTGATGTAGGAGACAATTACAAACTGGCCATTAAAGTAATAATCCATGACTTTAAACTCAGGATTACTTTGATTGGCTGACTTCATTTTCTTCCTTAAGCAGTGATTCCCAGACTGTAAAAAGATCAGACAACACTTGTACTTCAGCAAGATTTACTGACTTAAAGTATATTGGGACATAAAAAAGTGGTACAACACTTGGTCATAACAACATTGTGAATAGTACCTTATTTTTTTACTTTTTTTTTTTTTTTTTTTTAGTTAAGTTTTGCAGTTAAACCAAAACAATATGTCTGTAGAGCGGGCACATTTATGAGTTAGAGTTAGGGTAGTTTACCAATCTTGCAGTAGGGTTGCTTCCAATACTTGTTTAATGTAATGTGCTTATTGGTCTTCAGTTGTTTGTATGTTCAGTTCTTAAAACAACTAAAAGTATATGTGCATAGTCAACACTTTTAGTTAACCTTTAATCAGATAGTATTGATGCAATGTCTTTTTTCAGTCTAGTTCTACAGTTTAAGGTTTGACCACTTCCTTGGCTTCAAACCATTGACTTCATTTGTGTTTTAATGAAGTTGAATCATCAACATTTTCAAACTCAAAACCCACAATTTGTGAGTTTAAATGAATAGTAGATTTTTTTTATAGACTAAAATGTTTTACTGCCCCAAGTGTAAGAGTGCATGATGATCTGTGTTTCTGCTCAGCTCAGTTTCTGGTCAGCAGACGTGTAAAGCTGATCACTCTTGAATGTGAGGGAGATATGTGCCGTTTAATAAGTTCTGTGCAGTGAACTCAGCCCTGGTTTTCATTACAGGCGCCACAGCAGCGAGCAGACTCATCATATGGCTTCTCCAAACTTTCTTCTTTTTCCAATAGGAAATACCACATACATGAACAGCTTTGCATGACAGTTTTAGAACAATCTCAACTCTCCATTTTAGGAGATTTTGAAGTCTTTTACAGTTGCTGAGTGAACAAAATGCAACTGATGACAACGGAAAAAAACTGGTTTATTAAGATTTGAAATTAATGTAAGAGCAGATTCTGGGTCTGTGGCTGTGGTTAGACGGAGAGCACTCAGGGCCAGAAATACAGATCTTTTACTACTTTGGTTTATGCATGCGCTCTGTTGGTGGTTTGGAAAGTTTGGGAAATCGAGCTGATCATGTGTTAGAAAATCATACTTGTGGCTACACCAAAACATTGATTTAGTATACATTTACAACTTTCCTGAATGAATAGCATTTTTTCCTCACAAAAAATGTATATGGAGATATTTTTTGACATTTCTGAAATTAATTTCCACTGAGAGCAACAAAGTACTTGTAATACTACAACAGCAAGTTTCTATAACATGTCAGATGATGAGTAAAAGTTGTAGTGATTTTGTGATCACTGTAAAGCATAGGGGTAGTCTAGTTGTGCATAATAAGGGCAAGTTCAACACCTGGAAACAGCTGAGTATAATAACACGGCACTACACTGATGTAAACAAAAATGGAGTTCATTAATAAGCACATTTACAGGTGTATGGATAAAGTAAATGATACACACAACTAAACTAATAGGTTTTCTATAGCCTTCAGCTGCCAGACTGGGACCCCTCTCTCTCTGTGTCCTGGGGCAGGAAGTGTGCTCTAAAGCCCTGTGCCTCACTGTTCCCCCTGGGGATAAACTGGAAAGACTGGTTTTGTGTGAGCGGCGCCCCTCTTCTCTCAGCGAACAGTCAGTGGAACATGAAAACTGAGATACAGGTGGTGTGCTCTGCTTTTGTGCTGGGCCTGGGGGCTGTGGTGCGTGGAAAGGCCTCTGCAAATCTCCAAACAATAGCTGCCTGTGCCACTGCTATTGTCAAAAAGGAGATGTGATTATAACTTACTTTAGCTGAAAATATCCCAATATTTGTGATTGACATTCAAAGATCATTTGTACTAATACCCACTTGAAGTCCATTGTAAATGTTTGAAATGAGCTTTCTTGAGCATGAATGATCATAAATTTGATTGAAGCACACTTTTCTTATTATAATTGTAAGTAATGCAATCCAATCCAACACAATTAAGCCCTATTGGATGAAACATTAGCTGTTCGTTTCCACAGACAGAGTGGTGTGTTCATGCTTTCACAGTTTAATTCAGAAAGCCTTTATTAGATCAAAAATCTATTCACCATTCAAATCCAATTTATGTAACATATAAGTGTACCATACATGGTGTGCTTTGTGAGCCTCAGGATTTTTGGCTCAGCACCAAGTTTGACTAAAGGCTGGAGTGCACAGGCCAACAGCCCCAAACATGCACACAGAAGGTCTCATTGGGTCTGAACAGAATTCTGTGTTTAATGTTGAGCAGTGTCCAGGTGGTTTTTCAGTGATGTAGACTTGCTGAAGTAGGTCAGTCTTAGATGTGTATGCGCTGCTACATTGGCCGGTGAATAGGTGAGACATCTCCATTTCACCGTGCCATGGTGCCATGATGTCTCCTGCCTCAGGTGCAGGAAATGAATAGAAAACCTGAGCTGCAGATTAGAGCAGCCAGCCCAGCTGTAGCCATGCAGAAAAACATATGATAGAACCACTTGTTTTACACAAGATAAGGCACTCAGAAATCCTACGTGCACCTGACAGTGCCTGCACAGGAGGGCATAAATCCAATAGTAACAGTACAGGTAGACCATTATTTAAAAAAAGGTCTAAAGGAAAATGGTCTGTAGCATTACTAATTCTCCTGAGCAAAGGTAAATGAGTAGCTCTGTAAGCAGTAAGGTGTAGCTGATGTGAGTGTACACATTGATGAATACTGAAAACGAGGCCTGTAGTCTGTGTTGGAGGGAATTCCTGCCCCACCCCCTACCCCTCTCTCTGCTGCCAGTCTCCGGCACAAAGGGGGCACTGTACCACTCTGTTTATAACTAAGCAGTCCCTGCACTGCAATTTAGGAGGCGTGCAGCTCAGGAAATTGCCGGCCTCTGCTGAGGCATGCTTTCACTGAGAGAAAGGTATTCATCAGCCAAGTAATTGGCAGGTTACTTTTTTAAATACCTTGTTAGTAATTACCTTATAAACAAAATAACACGTCGCTGAAGAGAAAGGCTGTTTGGACGTGTTGTCAGAGCAGCGGCGTTGATCATTGTGAAGAATTTGTCGGCTGACGTAAAAAAAATGCAACATCAGCCAGACACATGCCTGAGCGCTCTGGGTGGCAAGTGTTTAGCGTGTGAGAGATTGTCATTTTTAATACCGCAGGCTAATTGAGAGACTTGACTGTTTGTGTATGTGGAAACATGAAGCTGCTGTAAACGGCTGGTCAAATATACTGTATTTTTGTCATTTATTGGAGCGATCTGTCTGTATTTTCAGAGCAAACAACAAGATCTCCAAGATCTCTATGGAGCAGCTCAGGCCCTTCCCAGCTCTGGAAACCCTGGACCTCAGCAACAACAACATTGTGGACTTAAAGGCCAACTCCTTCCCTGCGCTGCCCCTCAAAAACCTGTAAGGGTCACCGCTGGTCACACCACAATACACTGATGGATTCATACACTTGTAACATGGAACAGAAACATGTAGGCACCACTGTTTGATATTATTCAGTGTGTTTACAGTTGTTTCTCTCACTCAGGTACCTGAACAACAATCGTATTTCTTCACTGGAGAATGGCTGCTTCACTAACCTGTCCAGCAGCTTGCAGGTCCTACGCCTCAACCGCAACCGCTTGTCCTCCATCCCAGCAAAGATCTTTCAGCTCGCCAACCTCCAGCATCTGTATGGGACCCGTTCATTAGCCAGTAATATAAATTAACATATTTATATACTAAAATATGTCCTTTTCTTTATTAGAGACCTGAGTAGAAACCGTGTTCGTAGAGTTGAAGGTTTGACATTTCATGGTCTTCACGCTCTGAGATCTCTGAAGATGCAGAGGAACGGTTTGAGCCGCCTCATGGATGGAGCTTTTTGGGGACTCAGCAACATGGAAATCTTGTAAGTTTTACCCCCATCATTTCAAAATACTATTACGGAAATATGAAAATATAGATAATAATGTCAGAATTTTTGGAGTAATTTCAATGTTACTCTGTTCAAATATGGCCAATAATGATGACAAAAGAGAGTCTCTTACATGCCTTGAATTGTCATTTTAATAGTTAGCAATCAGGTGGCAAATTATTTTCTTTAATTTTACCAAATAAAGTTGAATGTAATACATAATAATACAATAATAATAAATAATACATAACATATATTATTATCATATGTTTAACTCATACATAACACACAACTGTATTTCTTATTCCTTGTCCAAGTGCCAGTAACCTTTCAATTTGCATTTACAGGCAGATGGACTACAACAACCTGACAGAGGTGAGCAAAGGCTGGCTGTACGGGCTCCTGACTCTGCACCAGCTCCACCTCAGTCACAACGCCATCAGCCGGATCCGACCAGAGGCCTGGGAGTTCTGCCAAAAACTCAACGAGCTGTAAGTCCACCTTTTAGCCCCCGCCCCTCTCATTATCCCCCCACACGTTTTCATTCACTTCCTGCACCCCCAACACTTGAGTGCGTCGCCCTCTGCTCCTCTCTGGCACTACCCCCATGGCCTTTTCTCACTATCGCACAAACTGGGACAAAGAGGAGTGTTTTTCCAACTCTGAACGTGCTGTGCCAACATGAAAGCCCCGCGCATGCCAAAAATACTGTACAGCCCTCTGCCGCCACACTCTACCCTGGCGTCATTAAAACCAAAACACTGAACTATAGGAGTGTAGTTTAATTTTTCTTTTTGAAGATGTCATTATTATTAGCTAGTCATTATCACTATTATCACTCAACTGTTTTATATCTGCTAGAAGAAGCTAAGTACACTATATTATTCTTACTTTTTCTTTATCTTATATCTAGCTGCTCTGAAATTATTTATGCAACAAGTGATGCGTTAAATTAAAAGTGCACTGTGTAACTTTTCTGGTAGAGGGTTCACCACAAACTTGTTTCCGTGGAGATATTATTGGTTTGCCTGAAAGTTTTCACAGTATGGCATTAAACACATCTATGTTGTGTTTATTCAATGATAGGTGTTTCAGTGTTGAAAAATATATTGAAAAACATGTACTCCTACAGTGAGTGAGCGCGAATCCCCACAGATCTGACCTGTAACTTGACTCGAATACTTGTCTCCATGGAAATAGATGAGTTTAATGTTATACTGTGAGATGTTGTAGACAAAGCAATAACATTTCCGTGAAGACAAGGAAGTGGTGAACCTTCGACCAGATAATTACACAGTACACCATTAAAATACTACCATTTGTAACTGTTGTGCTAGACATTTTTCTGTATATATTTCTAGTTATATTTGAAATGAATCACAAGCCCATGATTTGTGCAACAAGAAAATAATTGAGACTTGACCTGTTTATGCATACCACATTGGCACTACATTTACATTTTTCATTTATTTTAAAGGAGTGCAGCAGTAAACATCTGGTTTGTGTTCAACTTTTTTTTTTTTATCACAATTAAATATAGTTATACTGTAGCTAGAGAGATCACATTTATTAACTGACAGAATAGTTTTAAAGGCATGTTTCTGCTCAAATCTCTCCAATTCCCTCTGGAGATGTTATTATCAGGCTGTTATTTTCCATCACAACAGCTTCAGCCACAGTCTTCACAGATTTTACCATAGACACATTCCTGAAACAGATTTGGTTTCCTTTGTTGTGGTTGCTCGCAGCAGCGGTCACTTCAGAGTATGCCATGTCTTTGCCTTTTTTCCACATTTTCTTTTTACTTTTACCCAGATTTTTTTTTTATCAGTCAAAACAAAAGTAAACAAGGAGCCTGTCAGCTAGAACATACGTTCTATCTGGTTCACTCTCATCTAAGTTTACTTCAAATGTCTATATATTCATTTTTTCAGAGGTGCACTGTGAAACTTTCTAGTGCACTGCTCATCTCTATAGAGACGTTCTTGGTTTGACTAGAATGTTCCACAGTATGACATTAAACTAGTGTATCTCCACAGAGTCAAGCAAGTGACGCCACCTGTGACCTTTAACAGTATTTTTTTCCAAATATTTTGTCTGTGTGCTGTTTTAAAATATACAGTAAATATTAGACACACATGGTAACCAAGATGTTATGTGTATTTGTAGAAACTTGTCATCCAACCATCTGTCTCGACTTGAAGAGTCCAGTTTTTGGGGCCTGAGTTTACTCGACCAGTTGCACATTGGAAACAACCGAGTGAGCTTCATCGCAGACGGTGCTTTCAAGGGCCTCTCCAGTCTGCAGATGCTGTAAGTCTTAGTGCTTAATTATGTTGATTTTGTGTGTGAAGTTTTAGAATTTATGTTTCAAAACACCTATATCTAGACATACTGTACCAATTGCGCACTTGAACAAGAATGTGGTAAAAGCAGGGGGTTCAAACTTCCATCTTTAGAAACTCAAACTTCTCATCTAATCAGAATAGGTCTTGGTTCTCACTCTGCTACATCTTATCTAAAACCTATTTGCTTTGTAACCGTATACCCTTAGCTTGAGGTAATTTGATCCCAAGCCAAAGTTTGTTAGCTAAAACAACTTGAACAAAAACTATAATCAGTGCAATTAAGTTGAGTGGAGTAGATAAACCGTTACAATGCAATGGCCATGTGCCATAAATAAACTATAGAAAACCTATAGAAAACATTTACTACCAGAGCACTTCATAGCTCCTCCCACCTCTTTGTATCGTGGTGCCACCTCCACCATCAATCCCTCGGCTGAGTGGAAATCTCCTGCCTGATTTGTTTTGGGGATGGGAAATAAATGACTGCACTGAGGTCTCCAAGCGCACATAAAAAACCTCTACAAGGCACAGCCCGCCGACCTCAACGCCCCCCTTTTCTTCAAACAGGACCCCTTTTCCAAGCTTTCCTGTGCATACACAGGCACACCTCCCCCTCTCCCTCTCCCCCTCCCATTCCCACAGCAAGCAAGCAAACAGGCTCCAGAAATCTCAGGTCGCTAACTCAAACCAAATGTGTGTTGTAACGCTGAGGTCATCGTAGGGCAGGTGCGCAGGCTAGGTGGATTGCTTCAGGGCTTGAAACGATAGCACTGCCCCCAACGCATAAACTACAGAGTGACTTCCTCGGTCCCAGTCAGCCATAACCAGACATGCAGTGGAGGGAAATTACTATTTGAAGACATTAGACCAGCTGAGGGATCAAAGGATATGATTTCTCTGTGAAATACTTGGCCGTGGCAGTGTTTGTGCTCGGCGTCTGCATGTTTGGTTGTTTAGTATATTTTCCCCCTTGCGGATAGCCAATAAAATGTCTCATATTTTGTTTCCCATGCAGCAGTTTGGGGCTGTCAACAGTAATCGCCAGGTTTTGGTGGCAAACTAAAGGGGTGTTTTTTAGATTTTGGCAGATAAGTTGTCTGTAAAGAAGTTGGCTTTTTTTATTAGGAAAGGTCCAATATGCATTAGTCGATAACAATATTTATTTTTGCTTATTTATCTTATCAGGCATTTTAAAAATTTAAATAATAAGGTCTTCAAATTTATGTTAAGTTTCCATAAAGTTTGCAAATTATTTTTTAACTTGGTAAAAATAAAAATGTAATAGATACCACACAGATACTGATACTGGAACCATTATATCACCCATTCCTACTTTTGATCAGTTTTAGTTTAACAAACCAAGCACTTTAGTTTAGTTAGTTTAGTTAAATGGTTAGAGCTATGTAGACCAATAGCCAATGGGAGTTAAATAGATTGAACCTGTTTCAGCTAAAGTTCCAGCACGCTACATGCCTAATATGTTAAGGATTGAAAATTCATTATGTTTTTAATGGTGCTCGCAGATCTGTGGCAGACCTCCTTTGTGCAAGACTCACAAACATATTTGAATCACACGCAGAGTATATTTATCCCTTTAGATGCAGCACACATGTTAATGCTGCAGCACCGCCTTGTAAAACCGTTTCTGCTTTACTCGACAAAAAGGCGCTGCCGCAAAAGCTGGGAAGGACTTCCTGTTGAGCTCTGGCCCACTTTGAATATAATTTTAAACGTCTCAACGCAAAGCTGTATTAAGTTTTATTAACATCGCAAGCACGGTTGTTTTCTGGGCGTGTGTTTTTACAAGGCGGTCTCTCTTTGTTTCCTCTTAAAAGGGATCTCCAAAATAATGAAATCTCCTGGACCATCGAGGACATGAACGGCCCCTTCTCTGCACTGGACAAACTCAAGAAACTGTAAGTGCATGACAACCTGTTACATGTTTGTGGTTTCCAACTGATGGAGTCATATGGATTTTAAATAAAGTACACTGACATCAGTAAATTAGGTAACTTGGGGGTTCTACAGAAATAGATCACATATAGAGAGTTCATGACAGCCATTTATAGGTCTGTAGTTTCTAACTGGTCAGGGGATATATGGGGTTCAAATTCTGACTTAAACCCCAAAATGTGTTATAGGTGCATTATGTCACTTTTCTGCTCCATTTATTCAATGATAGGTGTTTTCAGTGCTCAAAAATATTTCTAATATATAATATATAAATATGCATTCTTACCGCATCATACTGTGTTACATTGTGTACTTTTAAGTAACTTCGTTCTCCTTAAATAGATTAAAATAGAAAATCCTAAAATCTTAACAGTGTCCCACATTCACACCAGTTTAATACCACTGACCCGTGAAACTCTTATAGCATATATGTTGAACTGAATACTGATCACATTGTGTGCGTTTTTTCCCAGATTTTTGCAGGGAAACCAAATCCGCTCTGTCACCAAGAAGTCTTTCTCCGGACTGGACGCTCTACAGCACCTGTGAGTATGGCCTTATGTTTCAGCGATTGTTGCCAAAATCCAAGCTGTAAACTTAGCAGGCTGAGTCACACAGAGCTTGTTTGTTCGAGTCGTCTCCTCTCATTGCTTTGCTTTGATGTGGAAAAGACAAAAGGCGGCCATCAGTATCCCTCCTCTGGGGCTTTATTGATCACCAGTGTGTACAACATTTGATTCTAATTAGAGTTTTTTCCCAGCTCAAGTTTGGCCTCCTTCCCTCTCTTCACTCTATGGAAGTTTAATATATGAATGAAGCTATAAATCTTCATGCATTTTCTGTTTCTTTCCCACAGGGATCTGAGTAATAATGCCATCATGTCCCTCCAAGCAAACGCCTTTTCTCAAATGAAGAACTTGCAGGAGCTGTGAGTATTTTGGTTTTGCAGGGCAGTTTTTGTTAGCGCTGATGTGAGACAGGCCCCCAGGTGAAAGTCATTATGGGCGGCTGGGAAAATGGCATTGGCCAGCAGTGTGTGAGTTACATGCTAATAGTAGAGTCCAAATTTAAAAGAGAAAACTACAGAGGTAGCTTAGATGGATTAGTTTGGATGTCAGTTCCATTAGTCAAATGTTCAGGGCATCCATATGCTGTTTAATACTGATTATGCATTAACAAGTCCTCTGGTGTATGTGATTCTATGGAATTTATGAACAACTTCAGATTCCTCAATCTTGTTCTTATTGTTGATTGGATGTACTTGCATTGTATGATTTATTTCTGCCAATCAGGCCCTGCAGATGGAAACTAGTTTTTTAGCTATAATCTAGTATCTCTTGTTTTTTTCACTTGAAATGAATATTAAACAAAATGAAATACATTTTAGGTCTATCGGCATATCCATACAGTTTTCTCAAGTACCCACGATTTTTCCATTTGATCATGCATTTTTAAAAGTTTTGTTACTAAAATGTTAAGAGCCTTCATATAGCCCTACTCCTTTCCATATGCTGTTCTCTATAAAACATATACAGTATAGGTTTGTAGTTTTCCAGTAAACCATAGCAGTGCATGTTGGAGTGACTGATGTCTTTCTGTATGTGTTGCATTGCCAGGCGTCTCAACACCTCCAGCCTGTTGTGCGACTGCCAGCTCAAGTGGTTCCCGGTGTGGGTGGCGGAGCAGAGTTTCCTGTCCTGCGTCAACGCCAGCTGTGCCCACCCGCAAATGCTGAAGGGCAGGAGCGTGTTCTCTGTCAGCCAAGAGGACTTTGTGTGCGGTGAGTGATGCTTTCATTCTGTGTTGTGCTTAAGCATATACACACACACACATGCACACACACACAAACATACACACATGCATAGGCTGATGGCATCAAAAAGTGTTGTTTATTTGAAACTGTTTTTCCATTTCGTAAAACTGGCCCAGATTATACACAGTTTTCCCGATGCTGGCACGTTCCAATGAGTTTTTTGATGGAAATGTTGTGGAAATTTACCAGGTTCATAATTTTCCAAGTCAGTCAAAAATATGTGCAGGCTCGGTGTGAGCTCTTTCTTCTTGCTACAAGAAATCATAAGATTGAATGCCTTGAATATGTGTCTGTGTTTATTAATATAAGTATAGCATATGGTAGTGATTTCGCTAACCTTAAAACAGGCATCAAATAAAGCCTTTATAATCTTAAGGACAGCGAATGACAAAACACATTTACCTGACAAAATACATCTTTCTTCTGTAATCATTGTATCTGTTTATTATTTTGTGTGGTCTCTGTGTGCTTGTGTTAAATGACAAATCAAAATCAAATTGAAGTAATAAAGACTCCTTGAACTTAGCTAACTTTACTGTTAGTGTCCACCCCTCCCTCTTTAGTATTACATTATGCCTTCCTAATGTATTAAAATATTCCTTTTTTCTCTGTAGATGACTTTCCAAAGCCTCAGATCACAGTGCAGCCGGAGACGCAGTCAGCCCTTAAAGGTGGAAACGTCACTTTTGTCTGTTCAGCGGCCAGCTCCAGTGATTCACCCATGACTTTTGCCTGGAAAAAAGACAATGAAGTCCTGAACGATGTTGAAATCCACAATCAGGCCCACCTCAGGGTGCAAGGAGGAGCAGGCGGGGACACAGAAGTGACGGAGTATACCACCACACTACAACTGCGCAATGTTGACTTCTCCAGTGAAGGCAAATACCAGTGTGTCATCTCCAACCATTTTGGGTCATCATACTCCACCAAGGCCAGGCTCACTGTCAACAGTGAGTGATTAAGTGATTCAATACCATTTATCTTGGCTTAGGGCTATATAGAGTTGGCTGGCATGTAGATCTCTATTTATTTTGTGGGATACATAAAAGACTTTGGAAATACTACTACTGTTATTTCTTATGGCGGCAGTCCTTTGGCACAGTCCATTGGTACTGCATTTGCAATATTATAACATAAAGTGACACTATAAAATAATATGAATATAAGATAATATTTTATAACAACATTAGATCAGTCCATTTGTTGCCAATGTGTCAGCTATGTTTAAGACCTAGAAAGCTCATGGTTGCTGCATATATTATTCATTTTATTATTTATGATTTTATTATACTATTTTATTAAGTTAATACTAAAAAATTATCTTTTCTTCTCAGTGCTTCCTTCCTTCACTAAAATGCCCATGGACCTGAGCATCCGGGCTGGAGCTACAGCCCGACTGGAGTGTGCTGCAGTGGGACACCCTTCACCTCAGATCGCCTGGCAAAAGGACGGAGGCACAGATTTCCCAGCTGCCCGTGAACGCCGCATGCATGTGATGCCAGAAGATGACGTCTTTTTCATTGTCGATGTTAAAACTGAGGACATTGGAGTTTACAGCTGTACTGCTCAGAACACTGCAGGAGCCATCTCTGCCAATGCTACTCTGACTGTGCTTGGTAAGTTGTTTTTCATATTACAAATTTAGTTTTATTTGTTATAATACTCTAAAATCATTCAGATTCATTAGGTAGTTATGATATCTGATATTGTACAAGATAAATGATGCATTCGTTACATTATCACAACAATGGAAAATGTGAATTTCCAGGTTATGTGCCACCTTATTACCACAGTTGTGCGAATAGACCCCTCCCCCTAAAGGTCTATTATCAAATACAAACAAGTTTAAGAACACAGCCAAATATACTTGTTTTATTGCTGTCCTATTTATCCTCTTTATTTCTACAGAAACACCATCTTTCCTGAGGCCTCTTATGGACCGCACCGTTGCAAAAGGTGAAACTGCAGTCCTTCAGTGCATCGCGGGTGGCAGTCCTCCTCCAAAACTCAACTGGACCAAAGATGACAGCCCCCTACTGGTCACGGAGCGACACTTTTTTGCAGCCGCCAACCAGCTTCTGATTATCGTGGACGCTGCTGAAGCCGATGCTGGAAAATACACCTGCGAGATGTCCAACGCACTGGGAACAGAGCGAGGGAATGTCCGGTTGTCCGTGTTACCAAACCCCAACTGCGATCCTGGAGTCCAAGGCGGAGTTGGTGTCGGCATTATGGGAGTGGGCGGGACAGACGAAGATGCTTGGGCCACTGTAGGAATCGTGATCATAGCAGTGGTGTGCTGTGTGGTGGGCACCTCGCTGGTCTGGGTGGTCATCATTTACCACACACGAAGAAGGAACGAGAACTGCAGTGTCACTAATACAGGTAAGGTTTCTGAAGATAGAAATGTTTTTAAAATGTCAAAAAATAGATATATCATAATTGTAAGTAGGCCTGTCACAATAACACATTTTCTGTGATGTATTGCTGAAGTAAATATAGGCGATTAACAATAATATTGAAACCAAACTATAAAGCAGAATTATCCCAATAAAGTATTCTAAATGTACAATATTGTTAAAAAATATTAGTTGCAATAAATACATTACAGAATGCAACACTTAAGACAGTACCAGTAATTATCGTGACAGGTCTAACTGTAAGATTCATTTGCATTTCATCTTGAGTCTTTAAAAATGTGCGTTGTGTATTTTTACCCTAGATGAAACCAACCTACCTGCAGACATTCCCAGCTACCTCTCGTCCCAGGGCACTCTTGCTGATCGCCAAGATGGGTATATCCCATCAGAGAGTGGTAGCAGTCATCAGTACAGTGGCTTTTATCTCCAACCCAAGGACATGAATGGTAAAACTACATATGTATTCATATTCATATTGATTAAACTGGGGATGTTTTGAATACTAAAGTTGTGGTTGTCTTTAATTATGCAGGGCTCTGTCAGCTTGATACAGGAAGTGAAACAGATTTGGAGGCGGCCATTGACCCCCTGCTCTGTCATTATCAAGGACCTATTGGGTCACTGCTGAGACGAGACAACCTGTATCCCAATGACCCCTCTGATGTTTACACAGGTATTTTTTTTAGCACAGTTTAAGTTATCATGATAAACCATACTAGATCTCTACTCTATCTTCTTCATGTTACTTACTTTGCATTTTCCATCCAGGCTGTTCACTTGATCAAAAACCTCATTGCATGGACTATACTGGCAGTTTGCCCAGCTCCAAACGAAGGGACTACCTACTCTCTGAGCCTTTCGACCTTTGCTCCTCTTCAGTGCTAATGCAGATGCCCAATGGCAGCCTCCATAATGGCCAGTCACTGCAACATAGTGAGCGTCATGTATCTGTGGATGAAGGGGACACAAGTGATTATGGAACAGAATCCCTCCCTTCATATAACACCTTTATGGGTAAATATCAAATTACTGTACTGAAAAAATTGTAGTCTAGTAATATATGTAGATCTTTAAATATCAATAAGTTATGTTCCCTTTTTCCATTATTTTGAAAAAAAAAAAAAAAAACGCTTAACATAAACAATAGCTTCACATAAAACATGAAGTACAACTTTGTTTAGATAAACTTCCACCATTAAAGATGCATTTTGTTTTACTATGTCTAATATTTTATAGGGTGAAAATAGACAGATCATGACAATAACAAATTCTCAACTTCAATACATTATATTCCTGAAGTAAATATAGATGGTAAACAGTAATACTGAAACAAATTTATGCCACTGATAAAAAAAACTGGTAAAAAAAATAAATAAATCATGAGGTGCAATAAATAAATAACAGAATGAAACACTTAACTACTTAGTTTGCATCTGTAATGAGTCATAGAAGTTATTAATTCAACTTTCCACGGCTCAAATCTTACCAGGTAGCCAAAAAATAACTATAAATTTCCCAGTAACTAAGAGAAACATACACACAACACATATTGACCACCAAAAATCCTTATTCCATTTGTCATATAGGCAAGTTGATAAGTCAATATAGTAATTATCATGACAGGCTTAGATCAAATATGTTATACTTCAACTTTAGTTTGAAGAAGTGCCAAGACCTTTTTTGATACTCTCAATAACACCCTCCTCTTTCCCCTGCAGGCACATTTGGGAAAGCTCCATGGAGACCCCAGCAGGACCTCTACCCTGGTTTTATCCCACCACCAGTGACCCATAACGGAATGACTCTCCATGAAAACCCCTACACTGCCCCAGACTCGGATTCAGAGCAGGAGGACCACCCCAGAGACTCAGAACACAGTGTATATGAACAGCCATATGACAACAATAGGACTGATTCCAACACACAAAGAAGAACCAGTACTTAGCTGACAAGATGTCTGTCTGCTTTTGTTCCCCATGAAGAAGACAACCAAAAATGTCTACCTCATTGAATGGACATTGCAATAAATAAAAGACTTTAGTGCAACAAGTGAATGTAACGGACAAAGGCATGTTCCTAAAAAGGGACGTAATGCGGCTGTTTTGTGACACAGCTCAATACAACAATAGAGTTGAATGAATAAATTGTTTTATATAAAGTTTATTGTAATTTGTAAAGTGTATATAACAGATTGTATTATTTTTGCTTACCGTCTCTGAATAAGAATATGCAGCCCTGTATGTTTTAGTTATTATGGCCATTGGCATTGAATGAAGCAATGTTTTGCACAATTACAATAAAACACCTTAAATGTGTGTAGTTACCTTCATATGTGTCTTTAATCCCCTGCAGAATCATTATGCCATATATTAAATGTGCCATCTACAGATGTATTAAAATAGTCTCTCTATAAGTTCACAAGTTACTCTAACCCAGTGGTAGAAAAAGTATTTGATTTGTTACTTAAGTAGAAGTACAGACACATGAGAAGAACATTACTTGAGTAAACATTAGGTTAGGTTAGTTTGTTTGCCATTTGTAGTTAAAAATATATTGGAAAAACATGTACGAAAAGTGCACCATGAGACATTAAAAACAACATGAGCAAACAATAGACAATCATTACAGAAGACTTATGACACTGTGAAAAAGTCAAGCTACAAAGATTAAAGAGCCACTTAGGAGCTTCTTAAAATAACTTTTTTCAGTAAAAAAAAAAAAGCATGTATTTCACATATTTTAGAACTATTGACTGGTCAAATGTAGTGATCTGGATGAAGGTTTGTATTTGGACAGAAACAACTTAATTTCTTATTTTAAATTCAATTTTATCAATATATGTTGGTTGGATCAAAGCCAGTACTAGAACTCAAAACCTTTAGGCAGGAGATCTCCATGAACATCCATTTAAACAGGTGCCGAAGTATAAGGAAAATGACTTTCTACATTTCAGTTTAGATGCAGTGGAGCAGTATGCACAGATACCTGCCCTTAGGTGTTTGAAAATAAAAGTCAAAATTATCCACTGTAAAATGAACAGATACTTGTACAGTACTTTTATATTTATATCTCGATACTTTCCACCACAGCTCCAGTCTAGAACCTACAAGTACCACCACTAAGACCATGGCAACCTGAGCAACTAAAATTGGATATATTACAGATTTTCTTACCAGCAGTACCAAACACACTGGTGCGTCTTCTGCACTTGAATATAGTCTCTTGGATGTTACTGAAGAAAGTATTTGTAGAGGTGTATAAAAAATGGGATAATGAAAGGGAGATACTGCTTTTTATTCCCGCAGAAGGTGTAGCTTGGAATCGTTTTGGCAGCAAATGTACTTTTTTAACTTTTTAGGCAACAGCCGCAGACCGCCAAGGACGACTCCAGTCTATAATGAATGAGATCCCCCACTGAGACAAAGAAAAACACTAAGTGCATATTTTGTTTGCTTTCAACGCTGCCTCCATTACAGCTCAGGACATAATTCAGTGTTATTGTTTGTTCTCTGTTAGTAATCACAGGCTTATACTTTTATTACCTCAATTTCTGCTCCAAATTAATGAACGTGACTAAGCTGGAAACTTTGCTCTCAGGCTATCAGTTAGTGTACATATTTACCCTACCTTCGCTAATGAAAAATATGGCATATAAGTTTCTCATAATAGTTTAATAAACAATATTAAAACATTGCTCCAGGCCATTAAAAATCTGGCCCTGTAGCAATACACAGCCCTAATACTCTTTTATATAGTTTGGTCTCTGGTCCTTACTCTTCCAGTGTTTGCTATTAAAGAGACTTATTAGCAGACTTGTTTGTTTTGTAGATAATAGTTTTAAAAAGCAGCGGGACGTTAATGCTATAGCAGAAGTTGGGTTTGTCAGTACTGCAGTAAAAATGACTAGTTTCCGTGCCTTGTGGTCGTACTTGTCCTAATGTGATCTCCTAAAACAATAAAAGGGGTGGGAGACCATAACCCCAACAGCCTATGGGGTATTATCCATATTAGCAAAAGACAGTTAGTGGCTATTTCATCATAGCCGCAGTCACTAACAGACATTAAAGGAACTTGGTTTGTCATTGTTTCTGTTTGTTAGCAATAGTAAAATAGTAACCGAAAGAAATTTTGTTTGTTGTTTGGAGTCCAATAAGAGAGGTTTCTGGTAGTTCTGGTAGGTCCTGCAGTGGTCGCTTTATTGTAATTTCAAGAAACTGGCTAATGTCCAAAAACCTATAGAGCTGCATCTTCTCACAGATTAATGATGTGTAGTTTATGATGAACTAGTGTTGCTATATGAGTCTATAGTACTAGTATATACTGTTGAAATAATATGTAAAAGAAGTACTGTAGTTTGTTAATGCTAAATTGAGATGTGTTAGACAAGGGGAATGAAAGAAAATGAAGGATTTCACTGTTTCACTGTCAGTAATTGTGAATAATCATTAAATGCAGATGGTTCTTCTCATACTACAGTGAGAATGTTACACCAGTATCTAGTTGCTAAAGTAAAAGTAAGTAAAGTAAAAAGTTATACATTATTTCAAATTTATCATGGAAAGAAATAATCTAACGCTAAAAAAATGTGAATTCAAGAAGAACTAGATTTTCCAGAGTATCTTGTTGAGGAGTTCTGAGTGAAGCCATTGCTCCTTCTCATGAAGAGGAGACAGCTGACACCTCTCAAGAAGAGGTTGTGGTCATGTCTCTCAACAGGTCTGGAAATACTTAAGGATTAACCAGGAACCAGGAAAGTATGGACATTCATTTTATAAGCTACCATCTCCAAAAAGGTTCACACTTGCCAGTTTTCTTCAGGTGGACTATGTAATTTTTAGAGTGGATGGCCAACAAACTGCTCATCATCATGAAGATGTTACTGCTGCATATGCCATCAGACTGACTCCTCGAGGCCAAGTTACATGTCAGATCTGTGAATAGGCGAGTTTGCTCACAGTAAAGATACATGATTTTGAAGGAAATTCTCAGCAATATAACACCCGCAATAGAATGAGTGCAAGATAGATTCTTGCTATAGATTAGGTAAATCTAAAGCATCCACATGGAGACAAGCAGGTGATGGACCCCCACCAGAAAAGTTACATAAAGCACCTTAAAAAAAAAAAAAACAGGAACAGTGGGCAAAAACTATTGACTGTTTCATTCTTACATTCTAATGGCTCATACCAAATGATGATATTGAGCTCCCAGGGCTAAGGCTAACACCAAACACAATGCTTTTATAATTACACCCTAGCTAATAACTGTCTGCAAATACACATGTTATAATTACATCTAAGCCCTGTTAACGCCCTGAAGTTGCAGTTGAACTAATATTGCACAAACCTGAGCTAGTCCCTGTGTTTACATGTGTTTGGGTGACTCACTCCATCTCACCCCTCTCCCCTCACCTCCCCTGTCCTGGTCGGGTCGTTTGTTATTGTAGGCCTCTCCTCTGCAGTGTGAGGGAAAAAGGTGTGCTTGTGTCTCACTGTTAGCTGTTGAAACTTGCACTTGCAAAGTGTCTCACGGTGAGCTGGCTGCCATGGAGAGAAGACGTGTTTACCAAATGCCACATTCAAGATGGTGGTGCCTGCACTTCGGAGGGGATTTATTCAAGAGCCCCTATTCAAGCACAGGGGCTGTGTGTCAAACCTGTCCACATGGGGGAAAAATCAAGTTGGTATGTTGTAGAGATTAGTGTCAGTTCAAAATGAGAAATATTTGTGGATATATATATATATATATATATATATATATATATATATATATATATATATATATATATATATATATATATATATATATATATATATATATATATATATATAGAATACACAATGTCACATTATTAAACAAATATATTAGACACAGACATTACAGAAAATATTATGTTATTCCTTGTTTTAATTTGGTTAGACACAGCCAGCTCTTTTTATTTTATTTATTTATTTTTTATTATCAAAGTACCACAAAAATCTCCCAATCTCTGAAAAAGGTGCGTATTTTAGAACAGTTTCATTCATGCTCAGTCATTGCAGTTGGAGCTGTGAATGGAAATGCTGATGGTTTGCTTTGTTAAGACATGCTGTTTATTCCCTGTCCGTGTGGCTGACTAATGTTTAGTACACCTGGCTGCAGAGCTCCTCTGAACGCCTTTACCCCATTGTAATGGAATGAGAGGCTTTGTTGGAAGTGCTGCCAGTTCTTTGAGGAGGCTGCGATTGGGACAAGATGGTGCTGCCACACACATCCACACACCTGGGCAACAGCTGGGGCTCAAGAGTCCAGCAAACAGGACATTTCCTCTGAACCTTTTCAAAGGCATGGTACACAAAGCAGAGCTGCTTATTCACCATGGATCATGTGGATCAGCGCTGGGGGAGTAGCCAAAAAACTTTACTCAAGAGAGTGTTGTTATTCATTACTCAAGAACAGCAAATACAAAAAGTAACTGAAAAACTATATTTGAGATAAAGTGCAATAAAAGGTCACAGAACAAAAGAAAGATAAAACGGAATTTGGGTTATTATTGGTGGCTTCATGCACTTTAAATCATGAAAAAAAACAAGCTAGCAGACCTTTTTTCCCAGTTATATACTGTAATTGTCAACCAAAGTCAATAAAGAAAAAAATAATGAAAGACATCTATTGACACATACTCTTGGGTTAACCTGATAATACTTCAGTGCAGTAGAATTATGTGTTCAAAATGCCACATATCATGCTGCAATATCCTGATTATATAAATGTAAAACCTGTTTTTTCAAATGTTGTTCTCTGCCACATTTCCAAATTCATTTTAACACTTGACTGAAAAATGCATGTTACAATTAGGCTGAATGGCTGTAATTCCCCCTCTTAAACATGCTGCTTTGGTCGGGATAGTTTATTTACTCGTTTACCAAAGTTGCTAAAATTGCTGCAGCCCAAGAACAATTTGTGGTGACAAGTGACTGAGGCAGAGCAAGCTTCCCCTACTTTATCATAAAAAGCCTGTGGATATGAAGCCTCCATACAAGTCTGCAACTGGCGACAATATCCTTTTCCAGCCAGTGGGCAAAAGGCAAAGACCAGCCAGATTAGGACATCATTTCCTCTCTTTGATTCTGCTCCTGGTGAAATGAGACAGGAAGCCCACTATTGCCCCCGACTACCATTGACTGGCAGAGAAGCCATGGGGTCCAGTGCTGCAGATCTAAGTTCAGACTGTAGGAGTTGCTTTATGTTGGCCTGTAGTGTTCATAACTGATCCAGGGTCAGCTCCCCAG